AGCCCAAGAAAATAAAGTCTGTCCCTGTTTCCACTATTTCCCCATCTATTTGCCATGAAGAGATGGGACCAGAAGCCATGATCTTAGTTTTCTGAATGTTGAGTTTTAAGCTAACTTTTTCACTCTTCTTTTTCACTTTCAAGGGTCTTTAGCTCCTCTCTGCTTTCTGCCATAAGGGTGTTATCACCTGCATATCTGAGGTTATTGATATTTCTCCCGGCAATCTTGATTCTAGCTTGTGCTTTATCCAGTCTGGCATTTTGCATGATGTACTCTGCATAGAAGTTAAATAAGCAGGGTGACAACATACAATACAGCCTTGATGTACTCTTCCCAATTTGGAACCAGTCCGTTGTTCCATGTCTGGTTCTAACTGTTGCTTCTTGACCTGCATACAGGTTCCACAGGAGGCAGGTAAGGTGGTCTGGTATTCCTATCTCTTGAAGAATTTTCCACAGTTTGTTGTGATCCACACAGTCAAAGGCTTTAGTGTAGTCAACGAAGCAGATAACTTTTCTGGAATTCTCTTGCTTTTTCTACAATTCAACAGATGTTGGCAATTTGATCTCTGGTTCCTCTGCCTTCTCTAAATCCAGTTTGAACATCTGGAAGTTCTCAGTTCATGTACTGTTGAAGCCTAGCTTGGAGAATTTTGAGCATTACTTTGCTAACATGTGAAATGAGTGCAACTGTGTGGTAATTTGAACATTCTCTGGCAAGAAATAAACAGAATAAAAGAATGACATTACTTGAGCTAGGGGGAGAAAAGGGTTAGAGAAAGATATTTGAAATTAGTATTTCAAAGGTGATACAGTTACTGATGATGACAAAATCTAGGGAGGTAGTTCTCAAGCCTTAGCATCAGAATCAACTGGAATCAAAAGACAGAATGCTAAGCCCCACCATCCAGAGTTTCTTATTCATTAGGTGAGGGGTGGGGGTCAAGAATGGCATTTCCAGCAAGTTCCTACATGATACTGATGGCCTGGAGACATACTTTGAGAACTACTGGTTTGAGTTAAGTCAGTTGTCAAGATGGGAAGAAGAAAAGTTCTTTGGAACTGAGGTTAGGAACTGAGACACCAGGTGGTTGACAGGGTCATTTAGGAGGATGCTGAAAGTCCTAAGAATGCTGATGGGAACAGAATGACTGGAAGGTAAAAGATAGCTACAGAAAGAAATAATATGGCAAAGTCTGAAGTTACATAGTTCAAATGAGCAGGGATTTTTGTAGGATGAAAGGAGACAAGCAGTTGGAATTGGTAATTTGCAACAAGGAGAAAAATGATCCCATCTCCACACTCTGAAATTTCAGGGTATGGGGGGAAAAATCCAAAACGGCTGTTAAAGAATAGTAGGACAATTCATAATGGGAATTTTTCAAAGGAAAATTGGCCTTGCCTAGAGACTAAAGGAACCTAACAACCAAATGCAGTGGGTAAACTTTGGGTTTGAGTTTTTTTTTTAAGGGTAAAAAATATGTTACAGATAAATGGGAAAATGCGTATGTGGGCTCTCTCTCTATGGAATTATATATGGAATCACTCTTAACATTCTGAGGTATGCTAACTGTTACATAGGAAAATTTCCATGTATTTAGGAGAGTCAGGTTGAAGTGTTTCAGGGTAAACTGCTATGATACTTGCAATTTCAAATAGTTCTATTAAAAAAGAAGAGTGTGCATGCTCATTCTCCAAAGATGGCATCCAATGAACCATGCATATAGGTATTATAACTCTGTGTAGTCCAACTCACAGTGAACACTTGCAGATCCTGTGAGTGTTTTAAGAATATGTGACAGAACTGATTCTGTCCTAATTTTGAGCCTATACATTAAGGGCTTCCCTGGTGGCTTAGAGGGTAAAGCATCTGCCTGCAATGTGGGAGACTGGGGTTCGATCCCTGGGTCAGGAAGATCCCCTGGAGAAGGAAATGGCAACCCAATCCAGTACTCTTACCTAGAAAATCCCATGGACAGAGGAGCCTGGTAGACTACAGTCCATGGGGCTGCAAAGAATCAGACATGACTGAGAGACTTCACTTCATACATTAAGAAGACCTGGCAGACGCCCCTTTTGTGTTTTGGACAGCCCTGAGCTACCATGTAAGACGTTTGGCTACCATGCTGAAGAGACCACATGGAAAGGGAGAGTCCCTGAGATTATATGAAGAGATGGAAAAGATGAAGAGAAGAGGAGGAGAGAGATGGCCAGGGAAAGGGGACCAGAAGAACAGAGAGGCTATCTAGGCATCCCAGCTGACCCTTCTCATCAACACCACCAAGATGCCAAGGTGAGCCATCTCGAGTGTTACAGCCCAGTCAAAGCCCAGCCAGCAATACAGGGAGAAGAAGAACTACCATCTAAGACCAGTCAATCTATAGAATTATGACATATTAAAATAGCTGTTTTAAAGCACTAATTTTGGGGTAACTGTTGCACAACTACACATACACATGAGGGCGGTGTGGAAGGGAGAGGAAAAAGAAAGTAACAAAATGTTAATGAATCTAGGTGATGGGTATAAAAGTGTATATTTTATTTTTCAACTTCTCTCTGGGTTTAAAATTTTCAAAATAAAAACCTTATGGAGGGTTTGATCATATTTGATCATTCCTTAGAATTATTATTAATTTTTAAAGTATGATAATGATATGGAGGATATGTTATTTTGAAAAGAGTTCTTATCTTCTAGTGATACTGACATCCTTACTGATGAAATGATCTAATATCTAGGATTCACTTCCAAAGGCAGTGATTGTTAGTTTAGTAAGAGAAGGGGACTTCATAAGGATACTTAGCATCAAGAGAGAAAAAACATGTTAAAAAAAAAGGAAACATCCATATACAAAAATCATAAGCTTTTTGTTTCCAGTTAAATTGAAGGCATACTAATTATTTTGCTTGTATATAAAATTCAAAACTGACAAGGCCCTAACAACCCCAAGAATAAATAAAATAATTCTATCATATACTAGTATTGCCTTCACTTTCAAAATCCTAGGCTTGACATATTGAAACACATTAGCTAGATATATAGATATAGATACTAAATCCTTAGTATTTAGTACCAGTAGAAAAAAGTCAGAGATGGCCAGAGGAGAGGCAGTGAAAAGTTTTTACTTAAAAATCTTAAGACACCCATAGCGCAAGGCAAGGAGGTTCAATTCTGTTGTTTGCAGTGACAGCTTGAGAAACAACAAAATGTGAGTAATAATTACCACAAAAATATTTGTATCTGTATAGCACTTAACATAACACTTATGTATTATTTAACATTTTACCCCAACCATCTGAAGTACGTGTCATAGATTCCCCATAGAGATAAGAAAACTATCAAGGGGTTAAATCATTTATCTAAAAATTTTTAACTAGTAGGTGGTATAGCTAAGGCTAAACACCCAAGACCTGCTCTCTTAGTTCAGTGGTCTTTCCACCATTTTTAAGGGATGAACCCAAAGAAGAATGGAGAACTTGATTTATACATTAAAACTTGGTAAAAGTTCAGATATGAAAAAAATGAAGAAAGAATTACACAAATTTCTGAGAGAAGTGGTAAGAAAAAAGTGACCAAAAATTGACACAGACAATTTTTAAATGCAGGAATACCAACTTTTCTTTTGATGTACGCCTATAGCTGCTGGATCATCAAAAAAGCAACAGAGTTCCAGAAAAACATCTATTTCTGCTTTACTGACTATGCCAAAGCCTTTGACTGTGTGGATCACAATAAACTGTGGAAAATTCTTCAAGAGATGGGAATACCAGACCACCTGAGCTGCCTCTTAAGAAACCTGTATGCAGGTCAGGAAGCAACAGTTAGAACTGGACATGGAACAACAGACTGGTTCCATATAGCAAAAGGAGTACGTCAAGGCTGTATACTGTCACCCTGCTTATTTAACTTCTATGCAGAGTACATTATGAGAAATGCTGGGCTAGAAGAAGCACAAGCTGGAATCAAGATTGCCGGGAGAAATACAAATAACCTCAGATATGCAGATGACACCACCCTTATGGCAGAAAGTGAAGAAGAACTAAAGAGTCTCTTGATGAAAGTGGAAGACGAGAGTGAAAAAGTTGACTTAAAGCTCAACATTCAGAAAACTAAGATCATGGCATCCAGTCCCATCACTTCATGGCAAATAGATGGGGAAACAGTGGAAACAATGGCTGATTTTATTTTTCTGGGCTCTAAAATCACTGCAGATGGTGACTGCAGCCATGAAATTAAGACACTTAACTCCTTGGAAAGAAAGTTATGACCAACCTAGAGAGCATATTAAAAAGCAGAGACATTACTTTGTCAACAGAGGTCCGTCTAGTCAAGGCTATGGTTTTCCCAGTGGTCATGTATGGATGTTAAGAGTTGGACTATAAAGAAAGCTCAGGGCTAAAGAACTGATGCTTCTGAACTGTGGTGTTGGAGAAGACTCTTCAGAGTCCCTTGGACTGCAAGGAGATCCAACCAGTCCATCCTAAAGGAGATCAGTCCTGGGTGTCCATTGGTAGGACTGATTTTGAAGCTGCAACTCCAATACTTTGGCCATTTGATGCAAAGAGCTGACTCATTTGAAAACACCCTGACGCTGGGAAAGATTGAGGGCAGGAGGAGAAGGGGACAACAGGGGATGAATGGTCGGATGGCATCACTGACTCAATGGACATGGGTTTGGGTGGACTCCGGGAGTTGGTGATGGGACAGGGAGGCCTGGTGTGCTGCGGTTCATGGGGTCACAAAGAGCTGGATATGACTGAGCGACTGAACTGAACTGAACTGACACCTAAAGGGACAAGGAATACTCTACCACTAGCCTCTGACACTAACTCACAATATTCACTTCTCATTTCTGTTAGAAAAAAAGAGAAAGAGCATAAAAATATTATAGCTCCATTATACAGATCCATCTCACCTCCCATTATGTGGAAGTCATTTGCTATTACAAAGCTTTTAAAACAGTTCTGTCTTATTTAACAGGTGTTTATCTTTGTTAAACCTACCAGGCTCTGTGATTGTCTTCGGCTTCTCAGTTTCCACAGAGTCTGGATTTTCAGGCATTTCTTGAATATCATCTTCTGCAAATCCGGTATCAGGGCTGCTGGTTGGTTTATCATCATCTTCATGACTGAGAGATGGTGAAGCTTCTCTCTTACTTATCTCTAAAACAGCTGCTAGAAGCTCCTCTTCACTCATTCCGTCAAATCCCGAGTGTTCCAATTCAGACTTCTCAGGTTCCATTCTGCATGATTTTGAATCCTGAAGAACAGGACTGCTTTTAGAAGAAAACAGAATGCCTACAAATACAGCAATCCTAGAGTTTAAAGTGATATGTTTATTTCTAGAGTTTCCTTTCTTTTTTTTCTGGCTGTGCCATGTGGGATCTTAGTTCCAAGCCCTCTGCAATGGAAGCGTGGAAACCTAACCACTCATCTGCCAGGGAATTCCCAAAGTTTCCTTTCTTTGATGCTTTGGGTTATTTACCAACTAATAACCAATAAATAAACTCAGTGGGAAGCCTAATTTTCTTTTAATTCTTTATGTACTAACTACATAAAGATACATGTTCACTTGCTTGATTATAACAAATGTTAAGTACACTCTTTGTATACATTTGGAAAATACATAAAAATAATTTCATTCAAAATCTACCACTCAGAGATATTTAAGTGTTTCTGGTGTATTTTTTCCAGATATACATGGATCACACTGTAAATATTCTGTCACTAAACCTAACATTCTTTTTAAAATGTGGGTAGCTCTCATTCCTTTTTTCTGAATAGATGAAAAAGATAAAAACTATAAAGATTTTGTAAATATTTAGAAGCTATTTTCTGTATAAATTTCTATGATTTCTAGGAGAATTTTTCACTTTGTCATTTCTCACTCAAGGTCAGCAACCACAAACTACCTCTAGCTTTAAAGACAGGAAACAGTCTGAACAAAAAATAACTACTGAAATAATTGCTATTTTACTGAAATGAGGTTTAAAATCAGTTGCATGAGATGATGCAAACTCCTAGAAAAGCTTATATCTTCAAAAATGTTAACTATCATTATTATGTGTCAAGACTGAAGATGCTATAAGTTGTGCCTTCACACCCATCAAACTTAGATTACCTAGTTGGCCTTTGATGTTAAAATATTTACTATGGTTCCCTCATATTAATAATTAGTATCAAAATAATGCAATTAATCATTTGAGGACCTGGTGGCTCAGATGGTAAAGAATCTGCCTGTAATGCGGGAGACCTGGGTTCAATTCCTGGGTTGGGAAGATCCTCTGGAGGAGGGCATGGCAACCCACTCCAGTATTCTTGCCTGGAGATTACCCATGGACAGAGGAGCCAGGCAGGCTACAGTCCAAGGGGGTTGTAAAGAGTTGGACATGAATGAGTGATTAAGCACACACAGCACATGTAAAAGTAGCTCTGAAGATTAATATTAATAGGAGGAAGCTATTTATTTATAACAACTTTCATATCTTAAAGTATCTATCTTGGAAGCAACGTAAGTTTCTACTGATGAATGAATGGATAAAGAAGATGTGAAATGAGTGTGTGTGTAAGTGTGCATGCACACACACGATGGAACATTATTCAACCAAGAAAAAACTGAAAAAGAATGAAATAAGCCCAAAGATACAGAGAACAGACGGTGGCTGCCAGAGGTGAGGACTAGGGAGTCAATGAAATCGGTGAGGGGCAAAAAAGTACAAATTTCCAGTTATAAAATAAGTCATGGGGATGTAATTTACAGTTAATAATATTGTATTGCATATTTGAGAGTTGCTAAGTACATCTGAAAAGTCCTCACTCACAAGAAAAAAAATTTTTTTGGTAAATAAGTATGGTGATAATGTTAAGTAGATTTCTTGTGGTGATCATTTTGCAATAAATATACACAAATATATCATCATGTTATACAGTTGAAACTAATCTCATGTTTTATGTCAATTACACCTCAATTTTAAAAAAGTCTCAATCCACGTTTAAACACACAAGTTTTGTAGCTACAAACAGCACACTCTTAAAATCAGTGTTTGAACAGGTGCATTAAATTTATGATCTATCATATGTATTTATTAAGTTTGCCCATGTTGCTTATGAAAGGCATTTGTTTATACAGCCAGATACTTCGATAAGAAATCACTTACTTTTTCCAGGTCCTCCTGCTGCTGTTCACTGCCTGACATTTCACAAAGTCTCTGGCTAAGGGCCACAGAGCGTTTAAGCTCATCTTCACTGTCTGAATCAAGGCATAAAGCTAAGGAGGTCTTGGATTTGAAGGTGAAATTCCTATAATTTAAGAGAAACAAACAAACAGACAACTCTATGTAAGTGATAAGTAAATATCTGTCCTTGTTATTTCTTTGAAGTATAAATATCAAAATAAAACAAAAAGTTTTTCCATTATGGAGAATGATTTAACAGAGAAAAAAAATATCAAAAGAGGTATATTTAAAGCATTACCTTTGCCCTACTCCAAAAGAGCCATGCTTTGAAAATAAGACAACTCTTATGCTATTTTATATTATCAGTAAACCAATCACTTCGTGCCTTTTTTCTTTTAATGATCAACTCCAAAGAAGATTGTCACTGTCTTTATAAAGCAAGTACTCTACTAGAATGCATGCAGACATAGCAATGAATATGTTTTTGACAACAGAGTGTATGAGGACTAATTTTTGCTCTTTTAAATTATGATCCATGTACTTTGAAATTAACAGTAACATTCCACTTATCCATTTATATGCACGTCCAACTTCTGGCAACCTCTACCTTCTAGAACAGAGAGACTCAAAAGGTAAAAAAAAAAAGCTTCTGAGGAAGGCAGTAGTTTCAAAGCTAATGAACTTTACTCTTTAAACAGGGACCCTTCTTCCCCAGGAAATGGTGAACAAAATAATGTAGCAAGTTCATCAAGAAATGAGAGCTAAGAAATGAGAGAGAATAACCACCAAAAGGACAATAAAGAACTATAAAGTAATTTAATGTAAAGGCAAACTGTCTCATAAGACTTAAGAGCCTCTGAGGGCATTACCATATTAATACACAGTGTAATAATGGATACTTACAATGCTGGTTCTAAGTCATTACAATATATTTAAATTATCTTCAGTGTATTTCATTTAATAATATAAGGAATTCTGCAAGGTTACAGAGGTATAACCATCTAAAATGGTTAAAACATTTTAAAGATTAAAATTAAAAAGGCAATGTTTTAAAAGGCAAGCTTCAATCATATAAAAATTCATTTATTTGGAATATGAAATAATATTTTTCAATGATACTAGATAAGTAAGGTGTTACTGTGTTGTCTTCTAAGTGAGCCAAAAATAAACTAAAGGAAAAAGTGGTAAAGGTAAAAAAGCACAAACTTTCTTTGATGAAGGTTAACATAAATTCATATGCTATACTAAAAAAAATGTCAAATGGAAGTTAGAAAATGCAATAATCTAAATGTGAAAACTATAAATAAACATAGAATGATGGCATCAAGAAACAAGAGGCCACAGTGGAAACCAGGAGGATGCGCAGCAATGTAGATCAAAGAAAAGAGGCAAGTGGTCAGCGATAAGCCCAACCATGGTCTTTGGCTGAGAGCAGTCAGGATATCACTGCACTTCAGCCTGAACACTTGAATAGCCTCCCAATATGTATTTAAAAAGAGTTTTTAATATAACTTCGAAAAAGCCAATTAGCCATCTTAATTCTTCATTTCTGATTCCATGCTCACCAAGCAAAACTGAACATACTGTTTATTTATTTATCTATGTAGATTCTTTGCTAAAGGAGGGTGACACCTGGCTACTAATATACCAGGGTCAAATGTGACAAAGAATATTACAGAAGAACCAATGGTATTTTGGTTTATAATTCAGCCTCTTTTAAGTTTGATCGGCATGACAGGTCTTCTAGGGCCTAATCATCTTTATTGAGCAACTCTCAAATTCTCATACCAGTAAGACCCTGGAGAACAGATTGACCATGCCAAGTATAATGATGCCCAATGAAACCATCTCTTTCTTGAAACTATAGTGATTTGGTACATAAAGAGTGCATTCCATTAATAGTTACTATATTCACAGAAGGCAGCTTGCCTGTAGTAAGGAAAAATATTCATCCTGTAAAGGCATCACTTGCTCACTTTCTAAGCAGCCAAGTGGTATTGCTCATTTGTATCTTGAGAACGGGCAAGAGTATTCATATCGGTACCATGTCAGATTTCTAGTCAGTTAGTCATCTGGTTCTAATTGCACTGAAAAATAATTAACAGGAGGAAAAGAAAATAGCAGTTCCCAAATGTCATTTTATGGTTATATAAGCCCCCCAAAAGCCCTTAAACAACAAAAGTGTCTTTTTTCTAAAAGTACTTTGGGACATCAAATCTTTAGAAAAACTAGTTTTAAAGTCAAATGACAACCAAGTCATTTAGAAATGTCTAATCAGGAACTGTAGTTCTAGTCAAATCATAGAGGAGGTATATTAAAAAAAAATAGCATTTGTCTCCTTCTTGGACAAACTTCTGGTCTGAAGCAAAAATATATAAAATATTTGTAGAATAGCTACATTCTAGTATGCATTTGTTTTCCTGTCCCCTTTCAGAATGGCTCCAGTTCAGTGTCTTAAGATAAGAAGTCCCACACTAGTTAGCAACATGTGAAAAGATATTTTGAGATCTCCATGCATGTATTTGAAGAATGGTGCTTTTTATACCAGTAAGGGTTACTTTAACCCTTCAATCCTTAAAATTCTTTGTCATCAGTCAATTTCTAGAGTTGTAGGATGAAAATATTACATACAAAAGATGATCTAAGAAGTTTTAAAGCAAAATTTTGAGAGGATCATCAGAACTAGCTTCAGTGTTAAAACTTGATATACCCTACTTACAGTTCAAAGCAGATTTAGGGAAATTCCAAAATATAGTAATGCAGAGCAGTTATCATGCAAAAAGAGAAACAATATGAAAAGGGGAGGGGATAATCTTGGAAATTAGGGTAAGCCAAATCCTTAAAAATACAAATTTTGGGTACACAAGAAATATAACTCACTTTGAAGGTGTAGAAGGGCTGGTGATGCAGGAATTCACCATTTGAGAGGCTTTCAATGGTCTAGAACTATCAGAAAATTAGAAAATATATAATGTATATAATTACATTACTAAAAAAATACACACTTATAAAATGAATTATCCTGTATTACAGTCCTTTATATATCCTCTTGAAAAGCAAACAATTATATTTTTCAACTAATAATAGAGGCCAAAAGAGAAAACAAAACACTTTCTCTAGGCTTTGCCTTATCTAATGATCTAAATAAACAACATTGGAAATGAAGTCAAATACTGATACAACAGGAAAAGAACAACTTGGGAAATTCTCTTTGTCTCAGTTCTTTTAAGCAATAAAATAGTAACAGCTCTCATTTATTGAGGACTTACTAGATGTTAGGCACTATAATAAAAACTCATACGTATTACCTCATTTAAAGCTCACAACTACTCTGTTATTTTCCCTACAGACAGGTCAAGGAATTTGTCCAAAGTCTCAAAGGTATTAAAAATTGTACAGTCAGAGAGCCCAGTTTCAGGCCTGTGATCGTAAAGAGCCTTGGCTAATGGTATGAAATGGTAATATTGCCAGAAAGAGTACTAGTTCTACCAGTAGAGGGCAGTTTGCAAAACTTCAAAAACATCCATTCTAAAGAAAGGCCGTAAGAGAATATCCAGAAACAATGACTCTCTGGGAACATGTTACTGACTCAGTAAGATGTTCAGTGTAAACCTATATGATGTAGAATATATTTCAATTATTAATCCAAAAAGGAAATAATTTTTACAAAACTTCATCAATTCATTTTAGCAAATGTTTATCACTTAGTGTGTAAGTATAAAATGGAACTACAACATATGGCTCAAAGTAATGCAAGTATGCAGAGGCAAAAGCAACATCTGAAGAAATCTTAAGGTTTTCCCAGGATTCATGATGATAAAATAAGAAATTACTTCTTTTCTCACGGAAAAATCTTAAGGCACCATTGAAGTTCTTTGCTCAAACTGTAATAATACTTTTATGAAGACATAATCTATTTTAAAGGTCCCAGCATAATATTTAATATACTGTTTCTTAAGTTTGCATACTCTAAAGAGTCAGCAAAGGCATTCATTAAAAATACTGATTCTAAAATAATAAAAATAAAAATAAAAGTACTGATTCCCCAGTCCTATATCAGCTTTGCTGAAACAGAACTTCTAGGGAACAAACACAGGAATTGGTATTTTTAGTGTTCAGGGGACTCTCAAGACCATGCAAATTTGGTTTGTATTCATCAAATGTATAAACTGTCTTCCAGTGATCTAAAAGAGGAAGGAGTACTCCCTAAAAAGGTAATTTATTATGAAAGGCAATTAATGCTCATTGAAAGTTATTATTAAAGCATTTTTTCAATTACTGAAATCACATAGTAATTTAGCACAGAATCCTCAAATAAAGCAAAATTAAAATCTCCTTGTTGATATGATTTTACCTGGAGTCGTGTTATCTAATTCAGTCATTCTTCTGATCAGACAGTAAAGTCTTTCTACTTCAAAAGGGAAAGAAATTCTCAAGGACTTACACTGCCATCTGTGCACTCCAACCAAGGTTAAAGGGTGGTTTCGTATTTTCAGTGCAATGAGATGAGAGGGTCAGGTATCTTGGAATGATGACTTGCTGCCCAATCTTGTTGTTAAGTGAGAGAGCAACATTGAAGCTATATCGTTTCAAATGAAGAATGAGGATTCTGAAAAACAGAAGATGATGACATTACTAGTTTGAATATAACAGAGGTAGCTCTTTTACAGCTAACAAGAGATCACTTAACTAACCATGTTAGACAGCTTTTGATTCAAAGACTACAATAGGCCAAGTTAAAGATCTGTCAAACATTTACTGAATACCTGCCATGTGCTAGGTATTGTGCTAGATACTAAGAACACAAATAAAAATAAAACACAGACACTGGGTAGATATTATTAATTGGGAGGTTTGGGTAAAATAATGTTACCAGAAAAAAACCAAAACATCAGTTCAGTTCAGTCCCTCAGTCCTGTCCGACTCTTTGCGACACCATGGACTGCAGCATGCCAGGCTTCCCTGTCTATCACCAACTCCTGGAGTCTACTCAAACTCATATCCATTGAGTCGGTGATGCCATCCAACCATCTCATCCTCTGTCGTCCCCTTCTCCTCCCTTCTTCAATCTTTCCCAGCATCAGGGTCTTTTCAGATGAGTCAGTTCTTCGAATCAGGTGGCAAAAGTGTTGGAGTTTCGGCTTCAGCCTCAGTGCTTCCAATGAATATTCAGGACTGATTTCCTTTAGGATGGACTGGTTGGATCTGCTTGGAGTTCAAGGGACTCTCAAGAGTGTTCTCCAACATCACAGTTCAAAAGCATCAATTCTTTAGTGCTGAGCTTTCTTTATAGTCCAACTCTCACATCCATACATGACTACTGGAAAAACCATAGCTTTGACTAGACGGACCTTTGTTGGTAAGGTAATGTCTCTGCTTTTTAATATGCTGTCTAGGTTGGTCATGACTTTTCTTCCAAGGAGCAAGCATCTTTTAAACCAAAACATATCAGACAAGAAAACTGAATTTTAAAATACTGTATTGATACTGGGTCAAATCCTTATTTACTTCAGTGTTATAATCAAAAAATGGATGTTATAAAACCATAAGGGTCTTCCCTGTAGCTCAAACAGTAAAGAATCTGCCTGCAACATAGGAGACCCAGGTTTGATCCCTGGGTCAAAAAGATCCCCTGGAGAAGGGAATGGCAGCCCACTTCAGTATTTTTTTTTTCCATTTATTTATTAGTTGGAGGCTAATTACTTTACAATATTGTAGTGGTTTTGGTCATACATTGACATGAATCAGCCATTTACATGTATTCCCCATCCCGATCCCCCCTCCCATCTCCCTCTCCACCCAATCCCTCTGGGTCTTTCCAGTGCACCAGGCCCAAGCACTTGTCTCATGCATCCAACCTGGGCTGGTGATCTGTTTCACCCTAGATAATATACATGTTTCAATGCTGTTCTCTTGAAACATCCCACCCTCGCCTTCTCCCAGAGTCCACAAGTCTGTTCTATACATCTGAGTCTCTTTTTCTGTTTTGCATATAGGGTTATCGTTACCATCTTTCTAAATTCCATATATATGTGTTAGTATACTGTAATGGTCTTTATCTTTCTGGCTTACTTCGCTCTGTATAATGGGCTCCAGTTTCATCCATCTCATTAGAACTGATTCAAATGAATTCTTTTTAATGGCTGAGTAATATTCCATGGTGTATATGTACCACAGCTTCCTCATCCATTCGTCTGCTGATGGGCATCTGGGTTGCTTCCATGTCCTGGCTATTATAAACAGTGCTGCGATGAACATTGGGGTGCACGTGTCTCTTTCAGATCTGGTTTCCTTGGTGTGTATGCCCAGAAGTGGGATTGCTGGGTCATATGGCAGTTCTATTTCCAGCTTTTTAAGAAATCTCCACACTGTTTTCCATAGTGGCTGTACTAATTTGCATTCCCACCAACAGTGTAAGAGGGTTCCCTTTTCTCCACACCCTCTCCAGCATTTATTGCTTGTAGACTTTTGGATAGCAGCCATCCTGACTGGCGTATAATGGTACCTCATTGTGGTTTTGATTTGCATTTCTCTGATAATGAGTGATGTTGAGCATCTTTTCATGTGTTTGTTAGCCATCTGTATGTCTTCCTTGGAGAAATGTCTGTTTAGTTCTTTGGCCCATTTTTTGATTGGGTCATTTATTTTTCTGGAGTTGAGCTGGAGGAGTTGCTTGTATATTTTTGAGATTAATCCTTTGTCTGTTGCTTCGTTTGCTATTATTTTCTCCCAATCTGAGGGCTGTCTTTTCACCTTGCTTATAGTTTCCTTTGTACACTTCAGTATTCTTGCCTGGAGAATCCCATGGACATAGGAGCCTGGCAGGCTACAGTCCGTGGGATCACAAAGAGTCAGACACAATTGAGTGACTAATATTACTACTATATAACCATAGATGGTAATTTAAGTGTTAAACAGCCCTTATATTTGATAGTGAAACTTTTTAAAGATGACTTTTGATGAGAACTATTCTTTTCTCTAGAGAAAAGAGAGAAACAAAGTTTTCTCCACATTCAAAAAAAGTTCTATAAAATGTACATGCCCAATCTGGTTTGAGGATCTGAAAAGGCTTTTAGCACTGTGGTTTTTTTAAATTACTACTGTAGTAACCTTTTTACCTTTAATAAAGAATATAATCTCTGTTTGATAGACTAAACATATTTCATAGCCTACAAGAACACTTTCAAAACTGAATTTCAGAACATCTATGGGAATACCGTTTTTGGAAAACTGTTTCCTTTCTTACTGTATATACCTTCACCAAAGAAACCACAAAGTCAAAAATCCATAAACTGAAGTTAGTTACTGTATTTCTCTTTAAAAAGTATGCTAGAATTCATAGCCTTCAAAATCACAACTTGAGAGAGTACAAGAATCCAACTGATGTGAAGAGACTAAGATGAATGTGAAATGTCAAGTATTTTGACTAAACTTTCAAATGATCCCACTAAAATAAAAGTAATATGAAACAGTCAAATTATCACTCATCTGTAAAGGTGAGGTGGACTACAAATGAACAGATTTGACATAGATATCAGGGCCTTCAAGAATAAAACAAACTGGTTTAATCCTGAAATGAACAAAAATAGAGCAAGGCCAGTAATTAGGATTTATGACTGATTTCCTTAGTTAGTGACAGCTGGTAACAATCAATCCTTTTCCTTAAGATTTATTCCCCCGACTCTCTTGCCTTCCCTGACGGCTTGGGCTTCCCTGGTGACTTAGACAGTAAAGAGTTGCCTGCAATGTGGGAGACCCAGATTCAATCCCTGGGTTAGGAAGATTCCCTGGAGAAGGGCATGGCTACCCACTCCAGCATTCTTGCCTGGAGAATTCCATGGACAGAGGAGCCTGGCAGGCTACAGTCTACGGCGTCGAAGAGAGTCAGACATGACTGAGTGACTAACGTTCTCTTGTCTTAAAACACTCACAGATAGGAAAGAATAAGTCTCTTAAGGAAAAAAAAGACAGACTATGGTCAACATAATACTGCTATGATTTAGAAAGCCATTTCTTTCAAAGAAATTCATTTTCTAGAAAGGTCCAGATACAGGATGTAAAAGAACTAGTCCCTAGGGGGCTGGTTCCAGAAACTCCACATTCACTCATAGAAAACTGAAGCTTCTAAAATAAAGCAAAGCACTCCGCAGGCAAAGTGCCACATAAATACTTAATGTTGATAATAATCTTGTTTGTGGTTGAGATCTATTCTTGGAAAGAACTGAAAGCTGTTCTATAATCATATCATATTTTTTCTAACTAGTTTGGCTTTGTATTTGTTTATACAGATAATACAATATAAGTTAATTTCCTTCCTAATTCAGAATTTTTATGACTACAGGAAACTTACCAACTTACCCTCTGGAAAAAAAATATAGCACAAATTGCAAAAAAATTACTCTTCCTATTTTATTTTCACATGCACATGTGTATGTGTCTGTAGCATATTTTTATTGAAGGTTTGGGATAAGAGAAGGAAATTAGACCATGACAGATTTTAACTGAGTGTTACACATTATAGAATTAAAATTTTACTTTAGTTTCTATCATTATTCCAAAATCTCATCAGCCTCATCCTCTTGTTGCCAACTTCTTGGGGCTTTCAGATTCCCTCTCTTTTTCAACATTCCAAATTCTCTTCCTTTCTGATACAAGGGAATTCTAGCTTTCCATTCTCTACCCTCTTCATATCTTAGCTTTGCTAACCTTCTTTACCAATCCATCTGATAAGCCTCACTTATTCACTAATACTTTTCAGTACTTTAAAGAAGAAAAAATGAAGAGACAATTAATCTTACCTTGGTAGCCTGTTAAATTTGTGCCTGACAAGAGCACACTTCCCACCACATTTCTCACAGGAATACTCAAGTTCTTCTGCCTGTTAAAAAGACAAGAGGGAAAAATAAAGAAGTATGAAGATGAATTAGCACTGCCCCAACTCCAACCAGTTTAAATTTTGTGTCCAGAATCACAAACCTTACTAAATTAAGACCTAATCCTCAACATATAGTGTAACATCATGCCCTGTTTCACAATTTCTAATTTCCTTTTTTTAACCACGGTAACAGCTGAATTTATGATAGTAACCACAGTAGCAGATTCCCCATGGATACCTTTTCCCCATGGATACACAAGAACCACTCCTAAGAGTATATCCAGATTTTAACATTTGGCCATAGCAGAGATAAGATCACCTTCAGGTTAGGCGGAGTTCCTGGTCTGTTAGGTGTAACTCTACCCCTTTCTTATAATGGAACTCAATCTTCTGGTAACAGCCCACTAAGAACAACTGCTCTAAAAGGACCAAAGTTTGGGGCAGATACCATTCATTACCTAGAGAAAACTGAAACAAGAAATCCTTAAAAAATCGGGGGTAAAGATACACAGGAAAAGATTCAAATTCTATGATAACAACAGGAATAGTAAGGAATGATATAAGAAAAGAAAAACAGTATTTGAGTGGAGCTGAATTTTCATCATTTCAAGAACAGAGGTTTTTTTGTTTTTGAATCTTAAGAGTGATAACCCTGCCTATCTGCTACAATAAAACAAGAACCACTATTATATAGACTAAAGGTGATCCTGGCAGATTTCCATCAATTATAAGGACTACTACAACAGTTCAATTATGTCCCAGAAAATTTCAGAATATCTATAGCAGTGTATCATATATGCAAATATTTACCTATAGCTCTACAGCTCTAAAACAAACATGACTCCCCCTTTCTGTTTCTAACAAGGTACATATAACCTAAAGAAAAGCAGAGTATTTTTTCATTCCTAAGATCTTAGTATACTAGCTTAGTGCCTCCAATTTTGATTGGCATTACCCAATTTTAGCATGCGTCACTCTGTATTATTTGTTTCTAAGGTTGCCTAAAACACTTGCTGTTGAGTTAACGTATAATCCACTTGAGCAATGAATTTTCTTCTACAGTCAGTTAACAACCATATCTATTAAGCTTTTAAAAATAAATACTACTTATAAATACTTCTCATTTGTTTCCCCTGCAAGTGTTTTGTCAAACTCTGCCTTAAAGAAAGCAACTTCAAATACAATTATCTATGATACATAAAATTCAGTTATGTGAAAATACCAAAAGGCTGTATTTACTCTAAAGAAAAGATCAAGGGAATCTTGAATTGAACGAGGAGGGAGTGGCTTCTTCCTTCGAGGAAGATCAATGGAGAGGTCATTAAACTGTTCTCTTTTGGGAATAATTTCTCCACATCTGGAACAATAAAAGAAGACAAATGTTAAGAATTCAGAAGCCTAACTATGCAATACTAAATAAAAATATACTTCAGAAACAGTGTTCCCCCAAAGAATTTCTCATGACTAGGCACGAGAAGGAGCTTAAAGTGTCACGCTAGTGGTAAAGAACCTACTTGTCAATGCAGGAGACATGAGAGACTTGCGTTCGATCCCTGGGTTGGGAAGATCCCCTGGAGGAGGGCATGGCAACTCACTCCAGTATTCTTGCCTGGAGAATCCCATGGACAGAGTAGCCTGGCGGCTACAGTCCACAGGGTCACAGAGAGTCGGACATGGTTAAAGTGACTGAGCAAGTATGTACGCAGGCATGAGAAATAAATGCTGAATTTTAAATTTTTTTATTTTCCAAAACCCCACATGCCCCTAAGCCAGTGTGCCCCAACTACTGAGCCTGTACTCTAGAGCCTGGGAGGGAGACACAATGACTTCTTATGCCCCAGCTACTGAAGTCCACGCACTCTACAGCTCATGCTCCACAACAAGAGAAGTCACTGCAATGAGAAGCCCATGCATCACAATTGGAGAGTAATCCCTGCTCTCCACAATTATAAAAACGTCTGTGCAGCAATGAAGACCCAGCACAGTCAACAATAAATAAAATTATTTTAAAAATAATTAATATAAACAGAAAGAGAGAATTTGCTCTCTCTGCCTAACTACTAGAGCTGGACATCCATAGTCTCCTATCCTGGGATCGGTACTTACTTTGTTGGCTCTCTGGTCTTGGAACTGTGCGTGCGTGTTCAGTTGCTTCAGTCGTGTCTGACTCTTTGCGACCCTATGGACTGTAGCCCACCAGGCTCCTCTGTCCATGGGATTTTCTAGGCAAAAATACTACAGTGGGTTGCCATGCCCTCCTCCAGAGGATCTGGAGGGAGTGAACCCACGTCTTTTGCATTGCAGGCAGATTCTTTACTGACTGAGGCACCAGGGAAACCCCCATGTATAAACAAGATTAAAAAGCATTGCAAAAATTAAAAATAATTCATAAAGTATTTTATAGAAAACACATTTTTAATAAAAACAATTTGGTTCAACAAAATAAACTAATAAGAGGGGGTCATTTCAGGACATGGGCACACACAAAAAGTAGAGCAAAATTAACCATTCGGTCAGCACTAAAGCATTTAACGAACTATTTAAGTTCGCTTTAGTTCTCACCCCACCAAGCATTTTCATAGAGGATAAAGATAATGAACAAAGATATTTATACTCATGTTTCCCCATGACACAGGAATGAAGATAAGAATTACAACCTTCTAGAAGAGTTTGGTGGAGAAGGCAACGGCACCCCACTCCAGGACTCTTGCCTGGAAAATCCCATGGACGGAGGAGCCTGGTGGGCTGCAGTCGAGGTCACTAAGGGTCGGACATGACTGAGCGACTTTACTTTCAATTTTCACTTTCATGCGCTGGAGAAGTAAATGGCAACCCACTCCAGTGTTCTTGCCTGGAGAATCCCAGGGACGGGGGAGCCTGGTGGGCTGCCATCTATGGGGTCGCACAGAGTTGGACACAACTGAAGTGACTTAGCAGCAGCAGCAGAAGAGTTTGGACAGAGAAGTCTAGCAGGCTACAGTCCCAGTCCATGGGGTCGCAAAGAGTCGGACATGACTGAGCAATTAACACTCTCAGAGAAGTTTCAGTTACTTGCCATAAGGAATTAAAAGGGAAAAGAGGTTTTTTTTTAGAGATTACTTACGCTTTACAGATGATGGAGTGCTGAACTTCAAACTCCAGATTAGTAATAACAGGGCAAGTGTATACTTTAGTAGCTGAAATATCTGGTGAACTTTCTTCTCCAGGAACAGGTTCAGTCTTCCAAGTTTTATTTAATTTTTCCATATCTTCTTTCAGCTGGTCTAAGCACTGACTTAAAAATTCATGAGCATCCTAAGAAGGTATAATATCCTTAATCAGATCAAACCATTTCTTGCTACAATAATAGGTTAGTAACATTGTGATCTATAAAACTAAAGCACTTGAAAGTCAATAATGTGTGGGAAAATGTCAGATTTACTCTAGTGCTTCAGGATACATATTCTGCGAAAAACGACAACAAATGACAGATTTTACGTTCCTAACTATAAGTTAGATTAGCATGACTAATAAAGTGAATCGTTCCTTCATTTGTTTTTTAAAAAAGAGTGATTTTTCTAAAATAGTCTTTGTAACTAAAATAGTCTAAGGTCCTACATTGGGGCAAATCACATCTATATTATTAAAAAAAATACACAGAGTCATATTGAACCTTACTGGAAGTCCTCCAACCTGTGATGAACACATGTACACAAATCTCATTTTAAAATAAAATTGGGACTTCCTTTGTGGTCCCGGGGTTAAGAATCTGCCTGCCGATGCAGGGGAGATGAACAACCCCTGGCCTGGGGAACTAAGATCACACATGCTGTGGGAAAACTTAAGTCCGTGCATCACATCTATCGAGCCTGTGCTAGAGAGCCCGTGCTCCACAATAAGAGAAGCCATCACAATGGGAAGCCTGCGTACTTCAACTATAGAGTAGCCCCTGTTTGCCATAACTAGAGAAAGCCCACACGCAGCAACAAAGAACCTATGTACCACAACAGACACTCAACACAGCCAAAAATAGATAAATAATAAAATAATAAGATAAATTACAATTGGGTAACACACTAAAATCATTTCTATTTTCCCAATCTCTAAGGTGTTTAAAAACAATTAGTACTCACATTCTGCATATAACCAGAGAATCTCTCTGCTGTAGCTGAAATGGCATTTTTAACCTTCTTGAGTAAGTCTTTTTTGGTCTCTGAATTACAGATATCTTTTTTAACAAGCAAGTGTGCAAAGCGTCTGATAAAACAAAAGAGACAAGTTTAGCAGGTTTTACAAAACACTGAAGGTATATTTTAAGGACTGCTAACAATGGCACATAAAATTTTAAGTATCTAAAACACCATTATTCTATAATCAATAGTTAAGAAGTTACTCAGTAAGTATATAACAATTACCTGATAAGTGCATTGAGTGGAATTTTCTTCCATGGGATACCTTGCTTGAGCAAGTCATTTGCAAATGACTGGAGTGAAAATAGAGACTGTAAAATAGCATTCATATAGCAGGTATTTCCCAAATTGGAGAAGCTGAAAATGAAAGAAATGGTACTTTTGAAGACAACAGTAGTTCCTAAAGTATGTTCACTTGAGCAGGGGTCCTCCACTATAGCATGCATCAGAATCACCTGGAAGGCTTGTTAAACTACATACTGCTGGGCCCCAACTCCAGAATTTCTGATTCTGTAGGTCTGGACAGGAAACATGCAAAAATGTGCGTGTCTAAAAGGGTCTCAGTTGACACTGACGCTGCTGGTATGGAGACCACACTTAGAGAACCACCACAATATAACATTATTACACTTAAGGAAAATTCTGTTTTCAAATGAAAGCTAAAAAGGACTGGGGACTTAGAACATATGTATGCTTAATGGGCACTGTCAAATATTATTCCAAAGTACATTGTTTTTTTCCAAAGTTTGAAAAAAACTTTTATTTGTAAACTTTCTCAAACTTTCAGAAAAGTTGCACAGAAAAATATTTTTTACCCAGATTCACTAATTTGTTAACCCTTTTTTACTATATGCTTTATCATTTAACACGTCTCCCTATATATTTTTCCTGACCCATTTGAGATAGATCATAGCCATTTAGCTCTAGGATATATCTCATAACAATTGACCCAATGTTTCTTTATGTACTTTTTCTCCCTAAGCACAAAATTCAGTCCAGGGTAACATAATGCAAAATTCAGTTTTCCTTAATCTGGAATGATTCTTCAGTTTTTACTTTCAAGACACTGACATCTGTGCAGAATGCAGCACACCCCTCTGCTCCCCACACCATGCGCCCCATCCACCCTGGTTAACGGAATGTTCCTCATATTGGGTTTGCTATTTCCTTATGATAAGGTCAGCTCACACTGAAGTCCACATAGTGATACATAGTGCTACTGTGTCCTTCCAAGGGTATCACATTCAGAGGCACATAATAATTCTGTGTTGCTCATCAGTGATGTCAACTTTAAACACCCTTAAAAACTTCCACTTCAGACTGTGAGAAAGTATCAGGATCTGGAATATCACACAAAGAAAAACTGGACAACAGTCAGCACAGGACTGCAATCCTTAAGAGAAGGCAAGCAAATGCTATCAGCCCTACCATTTATGCAGGGTTTCAGCCTGGAGGCAATTGGTGAATTGGAGTTCAGGGGAGTTCAGGGCGTGGTACCCAAACAGAGTCCAGAAATCTTGCTGAGTTGAATTGAAAGAAACTGGAGTTTGAGATGCTGAAGCTGTTAAGGTTTCTGGGACAGAGAATCTGGGAGAAAGGAACTGTACAGAGGAGGAGCTACAGAAATCTGCACAGGGGTCTGCTAGAGCATTAGACTGAAAAACTAACTTGTGCATGCATAAGGTGAAACCCCAAGATGGCATGGAAGAAGAACTTCAAGGAAAAGGATGATTACTGGGAAGCTATTAGCCAAACACTTTCCAGAGCTCATGCAGAATCTAAGAGTTTTTAGGTTCCCAACAGAGTAGAGAGACATAGATGAATTCATGGAGCATTAGCAGAGACCATAGAAGGCCTATGCTTCAAGAAAGGAATTAAATCAGCCTTAGAATAAAGGTCGTTTAAGATTTGACCCCAAAGAGCTTAAACACAAATGCCGAAACAAACCCAACTGCAGACAGGGATATTAAAACAGCTATTATAAATATGCTTCAAGGATGTGAAATATGTGATCAAGGATGTATGTGATCAAGGATGTGAAGTAAAACAAAAACACTAAGGAAAGAAATGGAAGATATTAAAAACTGAATTTCAAGAGATGAAAAAAATATTTGAAATGAAATTTTATTGAATGAAATTAATAGCAAATTAAACACTGAAGAAGGAAATAATGAATCTGAAGATAGAGCAACATGAAATATCAAAAAAGAATTATCTATCTTATATTTTTCCCCTTCTTTCTTACACAAAGGTAGTATACTACTGTATACTACTCAGCAATGTGGTCTTTTCTAATTTACCAAGATACCCTTTGTTATTTTCAGGGTTTTTTTCTGTTTCTTTCTAAATTACAGCCATATTAGTGGGTATAAAGTGGTACCTCACTTTCGTTTTAATTTCATACACCTACTTCTTACTTTTTTTTACATTTTTTCCCCCACAACCTCACAATTTTCCATTCCTTCCAGGATTTTGACCCTTTCACCTAGTTACCATTTGTTGGATATTCTCTTATTATCCTTTTTATCTTAGTAATGTTGGTGCAATGTACTTTCATTTTTTATTTTAGTGATTTGAGTCTTCATTCTTTTATCTTTGCCTGTTTATCTAAAGATCTGTCAATTTTCTGGATCTTTACAAGGAAGTAACTTTTGGTTTTCTGTATTATTTTTCTACTCTCCATTCTGTTTATCTCTGCTCTAATCTTTATTATTCTCTTTCTTCAGCTAAATTTTGTCTTCATTTGCTATTCTTTTTCTAGTTCCTCAAGGTGTAAAGTTGGGTTACTGATTTGAGGTCATTTAAAAAAAATCATAGTAAAATACATAAAACATAAAATTTACAAAAAAAAACCATTAAGTATACAGCTTACAAGGCATTAAGTACATTCACCACCATTCATCTCCAGAAGTTTTTCATCTTCCCAAACTGAAACTCTGTACCTATTAAACAATAATTCTTCATTCCCCTTTCTCTGGCAACCACCATTCTACTTTCCGATCCTACGAACTGATTACTCTAGTAATTCATTTAAGTGGAATCATACAGTGTTTGCCCTGTGGTGACTGATTTCACCTAGCATAATGAGTAGGTTCAAGGTTCATTCACATTGTAGCATGTGTCAGAATTTCTTTCCTATTTAAGGATGAACAGTATTCCATTGTATATATACATTAATAACACATTTTGTTGATCTACTCATTCACTGGTAGACACTTAGGCTGCTTCCACCTTTTGACTATTGTTTATAAGCTGTTGTTAATATGGATGTACAAACACCTCTTCATGTCACAGCTCTAAATTATTACAGATATATGTGCTGGATCATATGGTAAGTCTACTCTTAATTTTTTGAAGAACTGTCATACTATTTTCCATTAACAGCTGCACCATTTTACATTCCCACTAGCAATGTACAAGGGTTCTAATTTCTCCACATTCTCATAAACACTTTTTTAACTCCAGGCACTTGCTGCTAGAAATCTCCCTAGGAGTACTGTTTTTGCCATATCTCATTAGTTCTGGTATGCTGTTATAGGCTTCATTTATCTTCAAGTAATTTTTAATTTCTCTTGTGATTTTATTCTTTGACTCACTGGTTGTTTAAGAGTATGATGTTTAATTTTCACGTATTTCCAATTTTTTGTTACTTATTTCTAACTTCATTCTATTGTGACTGCAGAACATACTCTGTATGATTTGTATCTTTTAAAATGTATTGACACTTACTATATGGCCTAACAGGGTTTCTACTAGAAAATGTTTCATGTGCATGTGAGAAGAATGCATATTCTGCCATTGGGTGGAGTGTTCTATTAGGTTGGTGTAAACGTAACTGCAGTTTTGGACTGTGAATTTTAAATAACTAGGCTCAAACACCTGTATTAATCAAAATAGGAACCATTACAATCAACACATGTTTGCCAATAAGAAATAAGTCTGTTTATTCCTGTAATGTAAAAGTCTGTGCTTTGGGATTTGACGACCTCTTGGAAAGCAATTTCTGCCTCCTGCTTATTGTGGAAGTGTTTTCTCTGCAAGTTGTTGTCGAGATACTTGAGGAAGTCGTAGTTGGTTGGTTAGATGTCAGGTGAATATGGCAGATGAGCAAAACTTCGTAGCCCAACTCATTCAACTTTTGAAGCGTTGGCTGTGTGACGTATGGTGGGGCATTATCGTGGAGAAGAATTGGGCCCTTCCTGTTGACCAATGACGACCAAAGGCACTGCAGTTTTCAATACATCTCATTGATTCGCTGAGTGTAATTCTCAGATGTAATGGTCTTGCCAGGATTCAGAAAGCTATAGTGGATCAGACTGGCAGCAGATCACCAGACAGTGACCATCATCTTTTTTGTGATGCAAGTTTGGCTTTGGGAAGTGCTCTGGAGCTTCTCCTAGGCCCAACCATTGAGCTAGTCATTGCAGGTTGTTGTATAAAATCCACTTTACATCACAAGTCACAATCCAATTGAGAAACGGCTCATTGTAGGGTAGAATAAGAGAAGATGACACTTCAAAATGATGATTTGATTTTCAGTCAGCTCATGAGGTACACTCTACCAAGCTTTTCCACCTTTCTAATTTGCTGCAAATGCCAAATGACTGTAGAATGGTCCAACAGTTTTAAGAGGATCAACTGTCTGTGGTCACCTTTCGATGGCCAACCACTGCACTCCTCATCTTGAACCACCATTGCACTGTACTCTCGTTAGCAGTTCCTGGGCCAAATGAATTGCTGATGTTGTGAGTTGTCTCCACTGCTTTATGACCCATTTGAACTTGTAAGAAAATTGCTTGAATTTGCTTTTTTTTTTTTTCATTTATTTTTATTAGTTGGAGGCTAATTACTTTACATCATTAGAGTGGTTTTTGTCATACATTGAAATGAATTAGCCATGGATTTACATGTATTCCCCATCCCGGTCCCCCCTCCCACCTCCCTCTCCACTCGATCCCTCTGGGTCTTCCCAGTGCACCAGGCCCGAGCACTTGTCTCATGCACCCAACCTGGGCTGGTGATCTGTTTCACCCTAGATAATATACATGTTTCGATGCTGTTCTCTTGAAACATCCCACCCTCGCCTTCTCCCAGAGTCCACAAGTCTATTCTATACATCTGAGTCTCTTTGAATTTGCTTTTTGTCTAACATCATTTCCCTAATCTAAAATACGTAAGAAATAAACAGCAAAACATAAAGCAAGAAATGTGCATTAAAATGATGTATAACAACATAACCACATTTAAGAATGTATTCAAATATCAAACAACAAAGTTCAACAATGCAATACTGCAATTACTTTTGCACCAACTGAATGTACTAGTTAGATCTAAGCAGTTCACAGTATTGGTCAACTCCTGTATTTCCTTACTGACTTTTCTGTTTATATGTTCTATACATTACTGAAGTGAAGTATTGATGTCTCCAGCTATTATTTTTACAACTCTATTTTTCCCCCTCCAGTTGCTTTTAAAATTTTATCTTTTAAACTAATGTCTATGCTTTCCCAGGAACAGTTTCTATTAATTTCTTCTATCAGTGGGAGCACCTTGATAGGCTTATTTTTCCTTCTATGGAAACTGGTGAAAGTATTTTTTAACCTCTACTGAGATCAATTTAAATAAACTATTGATGTCTTTTCTAAAACAATTATGTCCATTTCATTTAAGTTTTCTAATTCTTTTGTTAAGAGAAATATGAAATTGTCTCAAATTATTTCTAAAATTTCCTCTACATTAGTAATTCTCCCTTATCACATTTTATGTATTTCTTCCCTCTTTATCTCGACTAAAAGATAAAAGGTTAATGATATATCTACTTCATGAACTTTTTTTATACTTTGTTACTGATCAGGTGATTTTTGCAGAAACAAAAATCTGTGGCATTAATATGTCTCTGGTTAATAATGTGTTAATCTATTTTTCAGCTCTTTGTTACATGCAATTCTAACTTTTATCTTTATTATTTCCTTGCTTTTGTTTCCTTTTGGATTATTTTGTTCTTTTATATTGTTTGCTCATTTTGAGCTTGGAATTCATATTTTCATCCTTTCATTTGTATTGATACAGGTGTCTAGGACTAATTTTTCTCTGATCACTGCTGTAAATGTAACCCACAGATATTGATAAACAGGGTTTTCATTATCATTAATCTTCAGAACATCTGTTATTTGTGTTCGACCCAAGGGTCACTTATAGGGTTTTTAGGATTTATAGTTGGAAGTTACATTTTTAATATTCAGTTTCATGTTTATTATCCAGTTTCATTTCACTGTGATCAAAAGATGGTGGTTGTCCCATTTCTACTTTATGGGGTGTCTCCTGATTTTTCCTTTGTGCCCTAATATATGATTACTTTCTGTGAATGCTCCGTATGTGCTTGAAAAGGTCTATACTCTATGATCGGAGTATGGCATTTACTATTTTCCACAGATCTATCTGATTATGTTGTTTAGATCTTTTATGTCCTTAAATATTCTATTTTATCAGCTATTAGGACTGCAACCTCTGGTTTCTTAACTGTTTCCATTAGACAGCCAAACTGCTTTCCCTCCCTTTATTTTACAACTTTAAAAATCACTGTTCTAGGTATATCTCTAGTATACAGCATAGAGTTGGTTTTGCTTCCTGAGCTAATTTGAAAATATTTTTCTATTAGATGTGTCAGCCCATTTACATTTCTTGATGTGACAAATATATTCGGACTCAACTGTGTCACAATGCGATATTTTATTTATTCATCTGGTGTTTTAGAAATATCTCTTGATTTAAAAAAAATTTTTTTTAAGTGGTTATTGTACTTTTTATAGTGCTCATAATCCTTTTTTTTTAAATTATCTAATCTGTCCATTTTAAAGAGTACTTTTTGACTTGCACTTACTACTGATTTCAGTAAATTTATTTATTCTACTTTTCTTTCTCTCTCCTTCCATTTTTAGTTACAATCATACTCCTTTGTCAGAAGACATAATATCTATATGTCATCCTTATATACTGGTGTTTCCACCATTGTTTTAGTCTTATCTCTATAACTGAATATATGAAATATTCACCATCTATCTTTTGCCAGTATCTCCTTCATTACCTCTTGGCTGGATGAAGCTCATACCCTATAGAGTCCTCAGGAAGAGCTTATGTGTAATTATTCCAAGTTCTTCCACTTTTTTTTTTTTTTAAGTTCTTCCACTTTAAAACTTTTTTCCCCTAGCCCACATACCTGAAAGCTTAGATTAGCATGTCTGTTTATGCTTTCTTTCATCAAGTTTCTTGAAAATAATGTTCTTTTTTCATCCGCTTTGAATGATGACCGATAAGTCTACTCCTCTTTCCCTCACAAATTATTTCATCTTTTGACTCAAGGCACTGAGTATTTTTCCTCATCTTTAAAGTCTAATACTTGTACTAAGATGTGTCTTGTTCATTCAATTTTCCAGGTACTTGGAGGGCTCTTTGAATGTATAGATTCAGTAATTTTTATTTCTGAAAATTTTATTTCAAAGTTTTCTTGGGTTATGGTTGTAAATACTAGTTCTGTTTCACTGTTAGGATTTTTTTTCTTCAGAGATTCTAATTATATGTACCATGGGACTTTCCTTGCCTGTTTTCCAATTCAACCACTTCCTCTCTGATCGCTTATACTTACCTCATTTTCCTCCTTGTTTTTTCCTTCAAAGTTTCTTATTAAATTTTCACTTGAACTTATTTTCCCTTGGGGAACTTTCGTTTAGACTTAATTTTTGATACGATGTTGCCTTTCTTCCTCTCTCTCTCTTTTGTGTTCAAGCAGCTGTCATTTCTTCCTGCTGGTCCTTTCTGATTCTGGGTCTGAATTATTGATTTATGTTGCTTTTTTTATATTTTAAAATGCTTATTTGAGGATATTTCATTCGGTTTTAAGTGCTATATAACAATTTTCTTGCAGTTCATATTGGTTTTTGTGGTAGAATTTTTACTGGATTAAATATTTTGATTCATGTTTTCTGTTTTTCACTTCTTGTCTGTACAGAGGTGGCTTGTTTTTTAACATTTGTATTCATTTTGTGGATCTGGTGACAAATTCAAGCACATCCTCTTCCATCAGTTTAACAAAGTGCACTTTCCTTAATGGATGGTGGTGGTAGTAGAATTATCATATGATCCAGCAATCCTACTCCTGGGCATATATATAGACAAAAGTATAATTAAAAAATATACATGCAGCCCTAGGTTCACAGCAGCACTATTCACAATAGCCAAGACATGGAAACAAACCCAACGTCTACTGACAGATGAATGGATAAAGAAGATGTCCTGTGTGTGTGTGTAAGAATATTACTTGGCCATAAAAAAGAATTAAATAATGCTATAGGCAGCAACACAGATACAACTAGAGATTATCACACTAAGTAAATCAGAAAGGGAAAGACAAATGCCATATAATATCCCTCATATGTGGAACTGAAAATATGCCACAAATGAACCTACCTATGAAACAAGAGTCAAGGTCATAAACAATGTCTGATGGTTGCCAAGGGGGAGGGATAGAGTTGGAGGTTGGGGTCAGGAGATCTAAGCTATTACACACAGAAAGGATAAACAGCAAGGTCCTACTGTATAGCACAGGGAGCTATTCAATATCCTATGATAAACCATATGGAAAAGAAAATTTTAAACATGTATAACTTGAATCATTATGCTGTATAGCAGAAATTAACACAACACTGTAAATCAACTATACTTCAATTAAAATTTTTCTTTTATATTTATATAAGATGATTGATAGTCACTAAACTCACTATGGTAATCATTTCATGATGCATATGAGTCACATTATTATGCTGTACAATTTAAACTTACAGTGCTGTATTTCAACTATACTGTAATAAAGCTGGAAGGAAAAAAATGCAAGAGGGCTCCAACTGCCTAGATCCACTATTAGTGTATTAAATACCTCAAGTAAGTTAATTAATTCCTCTAAGCCTTAGTTGTGCTGTGCTGTGAATAGGTGCTCAGTCACATCTGACTCTTTGCAACTTCATGTACAGTAGCCCGCCAGGCTCCTCTGTCCATGGGATTCTCCAGGTAAGAATATTGGAGAGAGTTGTCATGCCCTCCTCCAGGGGATCTTCCCAACTGAGGGATCAAACTCAGGTCTCGAACCCAGATCTCCTGGCCTGTAGGCAGATTCTTTACCATCTGAGTCACCAGGGAAGACCAAGAATACTGGAATGGGTCGCCTATCCCTTCTCCAGGCAATTTCCCCGACCCAGTAATTGATCCGGGGTCTCCTGCATTGCAGGTGGATTCTTTGCCAGCTGAGCTACCAGGGAAGCTCAAGTCGTAATTCCTTAATCTACAAAAACAGATTTTTTTAATACATCTAGCTCAGAGAGCTACTGTGAGAATTTAAAGAAAAAATTCATTGAAACACAGTTTCTGGCACATAACAAACACTTCAGCTATGATTGATATCATTATTATAGCTATTATACCATGATCTCATTTCTGTATGGTTATTAAAAATATAAGCATGAAGGGGCTGGGAAAGATAAAAATAAAATTAATACTGAAGTATCTACAGAGATGGATGAAGTATATGAGATTTAAGAATACACATTTTCTGCTTTATGATGTTTTATATATATATATATATACATTTACACAGAAACACACACACGCAATTTTGTTTTCAAGGTCCAAAAATTAGAGACCAGATAATGAACTGAACTTTATGGACATGATAAATCTTTAGTAAATGAAAAATATTTGAGAACTATAATTAATGACTCTTTTAATCATCTTGTATACCAAGTTACAGGACTTCCTAGGCGGTGCTAGTGATAAAGAACTGGTCTGCCAATACAGGAGATGTAAGAAATGTGGGTTTGATCTCTGGGTTGGGAAGATCCCCTGAAGGAGGGCATGGCAACCCACTCCAGTATTCTTGCTTGGAGAACCCCCACGGACAAAGGATCCTGGTGGGTTACAGTCCACGAGGACACAGAGAGTCGGACATGACTGAAGAGATTTAGCATGAACACATACCAAGTAGAACATACTTCAGTTGAATCACTTTATAAAAATAAAGCAAAATAAAATAATTTACCTACCCTTGCAGTTGCTGCTGTTGGTAAGAGGAAAGGGGCACTCTTGGCTTGTTCCAGCCAGTGTAATCCTGGTTACACCTCAGTTTTTTAACAGAAAGAGGAGCTGGCTGAGGAAGAAATCCCAAACTTCTTTTGGCAGACGGAGTTTGGCTTGAAATATTAGTCCTATGAAAAAGAAAAAATAACGAAGAAACAAAACAAATTTGAATGCTGCTTTCTTCCCCTACTAGATTCAGAGAAGTCACTGTCTATGGGGAAAAAAATATCCTAAATTTGAGGAAATATCAGTTTTAATGATCACTTGGGAAAAAAATTTCACAATGTAAATTAGCAAATCTGGTGATAGGGAGCTGAAGAGGCAAATAGTATGGTAATGTGCAATCAAAATAAGCCAAGTTAATGGCTTGAGAAAAAACATAATTTTACTTTTTTATTCACTTTTATCCACTTGATGGCTATCATACATCAGTTTACCTAATCTTGAAAACCTTTAGGCAGTGAACTCTTTTCACTATTATGCAACAAATATTCGTACCCAATCTCCTTGAGAACTTACTCTAATTTATATGCAGTGAAAATGTTAGGAATATTTTCAATTTTCTTAGCTAATGACTGTTTCCCAAAAATGCTGTACCAATTTATATTTCCACCAATAGAGAATTTCCCCTTTCCACATAGTCTCCATTACAATGCTGCTAAGCTGCTAAGTCACTTCAGTCGTGTCCGACTCTGTGCGACTCCACCCCTGGGATTCTCCAGGCAAGAACACTGGAGTGGGTTGCCATTTCCTTCTCCAATGCATAAAAGTGAAAAGTGAAAGTGAAGTCGCTCAGTCATGTTCAACTCTTCGCGACCCCATGGACTGCAGCCTACCAGGCTCCTCTGTCCATGGGATTTTCCAGGCAAGAGTACAGGAGTGGGGTGCCATTTCCGTTACAATATTATCCCTCTAATGAATGGAACATGATTTCACTGTTATTTTATAATTTCCTCGTTATTACCTAAGTTGAACATATCAATCTGTCTTTATGGTTTCAATTTCTGTCTTAAGAATCATTCTAAGCCTCCAACTAATAAAAATAAATGGAAAAAAAAAAAAGAATCATTCTATAAAGGTCAGAAAAATGGTTTCCTATATTCTTTTAAAAATTTAAAATCTTGTTTTCCCTCCTATTCAGGTCTTTAATCTGCCTGGACATTTACTTTTTGCATCCTATAAAACAGGAATATGATACACTTTTTTATAAGGAACAACCAACTGTCTTCAAACAACTTACTATGTGCCAAGGACATCTGTTAGCCACTGTTTAGTTTTTTACTTTAAAAAAAAAATTGTGAAATAGAAAAGTATATAGAAGTTCGATGTGTAACACTGTTGTACAGGATGTCAATAGTGAGGAAAGTTTCGTGTGTGAGGATGGGGGATATGAGGCAAACTATACCTTCTATTCAACTTTCCCATAAATATAAAACTGTTCTAAAAAAACTTATTAAAAATAAAGTGTGGAGCTTAACATATTTTTATAAAGCAAAGACATAAGAACCATTAATGTAAAAAACCTCCAAGTGGCCCTTTCCAATCACAACCCTGAAGTTATCATTAGCTTTCTATCAGCTTTATTCCTTACTATGTACTCCCATACACTGTAGTTTGGACAAGGCAAACGTGTATTTTCATCCTTTTGCTTTCAACTTTTGTCCATCCTTATACTGCAGTTATCTTTTAAATAGCATATGGATTATTTTTATTCTTCCTTTAAAATCCAGTCTTTTACTGAAACATTTAGTGTATTTATATTTAGTGTCATTACTAATTTAGGTTAATAACCTAATATCCTTGTTCTACTAATTCTATCATATGTGTCATTTCTGAGTCAGTATTTATTAATTTTTCTCTTCCTTATGAGTTGTTTTCTCCTGTTTCTTTGTACACTTCATAGTATTTTTTTGGATGCCAGGTACTGTGAATTTTATCTTGCGGGGTATTGCATACTTTTAATTTCTATAAACAGTCTTAAATTTTGTTCTGGGATGTGGTTAAGTTACCCAGAAACAGTACAATGTTGCAGTTAAGGTTTGTTATCTGGGAGCAGAGCAGCAATTCGTCTAGGGACAGTTTTCCTCATTAATGAAGCAAGTCTTTTTGCAGGTATTCAAACTGCCATTAAGAACAGGAACTATGCCTGGCTTTATGTATATTCTAAGTATCATCCACTTAGATCCTTTAGGGTGATTCTTTCCCTGGCCTTGACCAGTCTCCTCACCTGCACATGCTGCTCAGCACTCAAAATGAATACTCAAGGGGGACTCTGCAGGTCTCTATAATTCCTTCTTTGTGTAGCTTTCCCTTCTGGTACTTTGCTCTGTAAATTCTAGCCACCTTGTATTCCCTAGATTCCTAGACCACTTCCTCAACTCAGGAAGAGTACAGAACTGGCTCTGCCTGGCTCCCCCTCCTTGTGTGTTAACCTAGAAACTTCCACTACCAAGCAAGCTAACATAGTCGTAAGGCTAATTTGTTTCCCATCTCTCAGGGATCACTGTCCTTCACTGATTCATGTCCAATGTCTTGAGATGCAATGTTTCACATAGTTTGTCCATGTTCTTGGTTGTTTCAGGAAGGAGGATAATGTGGTCCATCTTGGACAGAAGCGGAAGTCATCTTTAACTTTTTAATATGTCTAAGTTAACACCAAATATGTCCTTTTCATCATAGGGGACTGGAAAGCAAAAGCAGGAAGTCAAAAGATACCTGGAGTAACAGGCAAGTTTGGCCTTGGAGTACAAAATGAAGCAGGGCAAAGGCTAACAGAGTTTTGCCAAGAGAATGCACTGGTCATAGGAAACATCCTCTTTCAACAACACAAGACACGACTCTACACATGGACACCACCAGATGATCAATACTGAAATCAGATTGATTATATTCTTTGCAGCCGAAGATGGAGAAGCTCTATATAGTCAGCAAGACAAGACTGGGAGGTGAGTGGCTCAGATAAAGAACTCGTTATTGCCAAATTCAGACTTAAATTGATGAAAATCGGGAAAACCACTAGATCATTCAGGTATAACCTAAATCAAATCCCTTACGATTATACAGCGGAAATGACAAATAGATTCCAGGGATTAGATCTGATGGACAAAGTGCCTGAAGAACTATGGACAGAGGTTCGGGACATTGTACACGAGGTAGTGATCAAAACCATCCCCAAGAAAAGAAATGCAAAAAGGCAAAATGGTTGTCTGAGGAAGCCTTACACACAGCTGAGAAAAAAAGAGAAGCAAAAGGCAAAGGAGAAAAGGAAAGATATATCCATCTGAATACAGAGTTCCAAAGAATAGTAAAGAGATAAGAAAGCGTTCCCAAGTGAACAATGCAAAGAAATAGAGGAAAATAACAGAATGGGAAAGATTAGAGATCTCTTCAAGAAAATTAAAAGATACTAAGGGAACATTTCACACAAAGATGGGCATAGTAAGGGACAGAAAATGTATGGACCTAACAGAAGCAGAAGATACTAAGAAGTAGTGGCAAGAATACACAGAAGAACTATACAAAAAAGATCTTCATGACCCAGATAACCATGATGGTGTGATCTCTCACCTAGAGCCAGGCATCTTGGAATGTGAAATCAAATGGCCTTTAGGAAGCATTGCCACAAACAAAGCACCTGCTTATTTAACTTCTATGCAGAGTACATCATGTGAAATGCTGGGCTGGATGAAGCATGAGCTGAAATCAAGACTGCCAGGAGAAATAGCAATAACCTGAGATATGCAAGTGACACCACCCTTATGGCAGAAAGTGAAGAGGAACTAAAGAGCCTCTTTACAAAGGTGGAAAAGGAGAGTGAAAAAGCTGGCTTAAAACTCAGCATTCAAAAAACTAAGATCATGGCATTCAGTCCCATCACCTCACGGGAAATAGATGGGGAAACAATGGAAACTGTGACAGACTTTATTTTCTTGTGTTCCAAAATCACTGCACGTGGTGAATGCAGCCATGAAATTAAAAAAGACGCTTGATCCTTAGAAGAAAAGGTATGACCAACCAACCTAAAGAGCATATTAAAAAGCAGAGACATTACTTTGCTGAAAAGGTCAGTGTCGTCAAAGCTATGACTTTTGCAGGAAAATCAATTCTGAATATTCATTGGAAGGACTGATGCTTAAACTCCAATATTTTGGCCACCTGAGACAAAGAGCTGACTCATTAGAAAAGACCCTGATGCTGGAACGATCGAAGGCAGGAGAAGGGGATGACAGAGGACAAGATGGTGGGATGGCATCACTGACTCAATGGACATGAGTTTGAGCAGATGTTGAGGGACAGGGAGGCCTGGTGTGCAGAAGTTCACAGGGGCTGCAAAGAGTTGGACACAAATGACAGACTGAACAAAGTTAACTGTGGCTTCCTCTCAAACAAAATAAGGAACTTAAAATGTTTTAATTTCCCATACTCTTCTCCACTCATTTATTTTAACCTCTTATTGGTATAATATTCTGCTAATTTTTTGTTTTCAACCCTATCATTTTTATAAAAACTATCAAAATATATTTAGATGCATAATAAGTCTGGAAAGATATTAGTAATAGCAGTTGCATCCTGAAAGAAAATGAACAAGTAGGAGTTAGGATTTACTTTTCACTGTATGCACTCTGTAACTTCTGAAGTTTCTACCATATTCCCTTATTACTTCTACAAAAGAATAAATTTTAAAGGTACTTAATTTTTTAATATGCTTAAAAATTCTTTTGCTCACTGATTTTTACTTCTACTCCTTCCTTTGTTCACTTTTCTTCTTGCTAAAGAAATTCTGTCCTTGCACTCTTGAATTAAAATTTAACTGGATGTGTAATTCTTTGATATCATCTGTTCCTACTGTTGCTAATGTCAGTCTGTTTTCATTTTGTAGATGATATTTTTGTTTCTGGCAGCTTTTAAAAATTTCTTTACCCATCATCTACAAGGTAGATTTAAAAAATATGTATCTGCTGTTTGGCATTTGTTGAGGTTTTTCAATGTGGACTTCCATCATTTTCATCCAGTATTTCTTTGACAAATTCCCTTCCTTTATTCTCCTTAGTCTATTTTTTTTCTCCAAAATGCTATTAAGATATAGAGGGTTAAAAAAAAAATGGAGGGTAGACCAAGAAGCCCTACATAAATCTCTTTTTTATAAATTCATAGACTTTTAATGAATTTTGAAATAGATTTTCTGTAAACCTTTTTAAATAAAATTCATTTACATTTACTATCTCCTCTCTATGCTACATCCCATGATCATGCATTTCTGCTTGTTTAGTAGCTGTCTCAGTCTGGACCTCTAATCTGCATAGGACTTTATATCAGGGGTTCAGAATTTTTGCCCCTACATAGGGAACATTAAAGCAGATACCAATCACTGCAAACCCCATTTCTGGGTATTTGCTTTCTGATCAGGCTTCCCCAGTGGCTCAGTCGTAAAGAAACTGCCTGCAATGCATGAGACATGAGTTCGATCCCTGGGTCGGGAAGAGCTCCTGAAGGAGGGAATGGCAACCCACTCCAGCATTTTTGCTGGGAAAATCCTATGGACAAAGGAGCCTGGTGGGCTACAGTCCATAGGGTTGCAAAGAGTTGAACACAACTGAAGTCACAGCACAACTAGAGGGAGCATTAGGTAAGCAGCATATTTAAGGTTCCAAATGCAGGCAGTTACATAGAAGTGTTTGGGCTTGGTTTACTAGCACAGTGGAGAGGGAAATGGCAACCCACTCCAGTATCCTTGCCTGGAGAATCTCATGGGCGGGGGAGCCTGGTGGGCTGCAGTCCATGGGGTTGCAAAGAGTCAGGCACAAATGAGCGACTAACACTTACTTACTAGCACAGAGGGCAGTTCGAGATATCCAGCTTTATGTATCTTCAGGTAAGAAATCAAGTTCTGATTGGGGGTCATGTTCAGTTTCTAATCTCATGCTGGTTTTGAAGATCCAGCCCTAAATACTTGACTCCAGTCTGAGTTTTATACCTGCTTTATGGTTTCAGCCTTTACTCAGCATTATTTTTCTTACTGGTCTGAAAATTTTCATCTTATCTTTGAGGGCAGTTTTGTATTAAAAGATATTTTTATTTCTTCAATAATTCCTATGTGCAATGAATATGTTCATTCTATTATTTTGAAAAGAAATCTGTATTGTATTTAAACAGTTGAAAACCAAATTTAGTTTTTTTTCAACTTGGATTCCTTTAAGATTCTTCTAATAAGCAGAAATATATTAAGCTTCCTCTCTTAAATTCAAAGAGTTAACAACTGCAGTCATAAAGTGACTGACAGATTCCACCCAAGGCTGAGTATATCTAAATACATAATCAAATTATTTAACTCACCTTAATCATTTAACACAAATAATCTAGATGTTTTTACCACTCTGAATTAAATTCTAGCAAAAAATAAAATATGGCTTAACTGGTCATTATCTATGACTGGTCATTATGCTATATAGTAGCATATCTATTTATACTACTACTCTCACTTTTTACAACTGCCCTTCTGTGTGGCATTCTATGAACACGTCTCTTTGACAAGTGCTTAGCAGTTGTCTTATATATTCATACTCAACAAACCTCAAAAATTTAACCGAAATCTGTGTGTCAGTCACTCAGTTGTGTCCGACTCTGCGACTCTACACACTGTAGCTCTCTAGGCTTCTCTGTCCATGGAATTCTCCTAGGCAAGAACACTGGAATGGGTTGCCATTTCCTTCTCCAGGGGATCTTCCTGACCCAGGGATCAAACCCGGGTCTCCTGTATCATAGGCAGATTCTTTACCATCTGAGCTATATCTCTAGAATCACCAATTACATTTCTGACTGGCCTTTTCCAGTAAAAGATACTATGGGGAAACTTTTTGCTTTTTTAGGAAAACACCTTAAATTCTGGTAGATAGCTTAACAAACAATAAAGGCAATTTTAAAATGTCTCAGTGGAGAATTACTTTACTTGGGAGGATGGAAAATACACTGGTCAAAATCTGATCACACTGCCAGTCAAACCTGTGTCCTCAGTACAAGTCTTCCTAGACATCAGGTTTATACATGTGTTGAAGAACATAAAAAGTAATAGTTTGAACTAAAACACTTCTAGAGTATCCTGTAACTAAAATGTCATGAATCTGTAAATTTTCATCTATGTTGGTAAATCAATGTATTCATGTAGAGCACAACACATAGACCCTCCCATCATTTAATATTCTGAAGAAAGCTCTTCAAGTTCTTCACAAGGCATATAGCCAATGCATACCTGTCTAGGTTAGTGCTGCCAGGAGAATAGTCCTTGGCTGCAGATCTGCTACCATAAAAAGATGACGACTGCAAAGGTAGAAGCCCTAAAAAAATGAACAGACACAGGAAAAATTTAATTCCTAAATCAATCATTCAAGTTCATTTAATAATAAAATTACATTGGGCTTGTTTATATTTAACTCTATTGTCCCCTTTCTTTTCATCAAAGTAATACATACATATGCATGTCTGAAGATCAAAATACTGTGAAAAAGTTTGTAAGAGGTTACAAAAGAATACTCTCTAGCCCTAAAGCTCCACAAATTTTTCTCCAATTTCTAATCATTTTTTGAAACTCAGTTTCTCTGATTTCCTCCATAACATTAGGTGTTTATAAAATTTCTCAATTTATTAATTTTAAACAGCATCAGCTGGCTCCCTCAAGAAAAATCAGAAATAATTTCTCATTTATACCACCTCTACTCTTCTCTTCTCTCCAAACCAATTATCAGTTGTGTTATTTTATGATTTTATTTATTTTTTGGCTGCGTCATGTGGCTTGTGGGATCTTGGTTCCTTGACCAGGAATTGAACTCCAGCTAACAGCAGTGAAAGCACCAAGTCCTGACCACTGGATTGCTTGGGAACTCCCCATCAGTTGTGTTATTTGAGTTCTACTGATTAACTTTGCAAAGTTAACACATTTAAACTCTCCACATTTTGTTCCATGAAACTTTTTACCACTTGACCCCTTATACTTTCCACTCGCTCTCCTCTTCCACATCAACACCTGTAAGATGTACCATAACTTCAACAGTATTAAGTATTAATACATCTATTAAGTATTAATACATCTTTAAGTATTCTGTTTTCTAACTATAGTGAAAGTGAAAGTGACGTCGCTCGGTTGCCTCTGACTCTTTGCAACCTCATGGACTGTAGCCTACCACACTCCTCCATCCATGGGATTTTCCAGGCAAGAGTACTGGAGTGGGTTGCCATTTCCTTCTCCAGAGGATCTTCCTGACCTAGGGACGGAACCCGGGTCTCTTGCATTGTAGGCAGATGCTTTACTGTCTGAGCTACCCAGGGAAGTCCTTTCTAATACAGGTTGCTTGAAAAAGCTGAAAACCAAAAAATAGCATTTATATAATGAATTATTACTTCAAAGGTGAGAATTATATTAGAGCTTTCTCTTTCTGTCAGAGTCCAATTTATGTATGTCTGAACCCATAAAGCAGACTGTTTCTAGAGTCCAGATGAAATGAATTCTCTCAAACTCCCAAATTACCAAAATCATGCCATATTTTATTAGCTTTCTTCAATTCCAAGTTAAACACAATATTCAAATCAATACTAGATACATGAGTCTCTAAGAAGTTCAGAGGACCAGAGTTATGCTAAGTATAGGAAGCAGCAATAAAACTTCAGGGACAATCTTTTAGTTTTTGTTAAAAATAAGGTGAGCGTATATAACTGCTTTATGTGATCATTACAAGATCTTCTGGAACTTCTAACCACCAGCAACACTGATAATTTAATTTCAATAACTTTAACTCTTTGGATTCATTCCATGGTCCAGGTACCTTGACAATTCTAATTCTAATTCTAATCCTAATTCTAGGTAGTTGAAGAGGCAGATGTAAAGCTTAAATTCCTCGTAAGCAAAATAAAAATTCCCTTGTAGCTCTAATATTTTAAAAAATAGTTTAGCCAAGTATTAGGATACAAATTAGGGCTTCCCAGGTGGCTCAGTGGTAAAATATCCACCTGCCACGCAGGGGACATGGGTTTGATCCCTGGGTTGGGAAGATCCTCTGGAGAAGGAAATGGTAACCAACTCCAGTATTTCTGCCTGGGAAATCCCATGGACAGAGGAGCCTGGTGGGCTACAGTTCATGGGGTCACAAAGAGTTGAACACACTGAGCAACTAAACAGCAAAAACAGGATATAAACTGGCACCTGATAACTAGTCCAAAATTTACCCAGTGTTCTTAAATATGTGAGAAATATGCCCCAGTTTACATTTCTATTTCTAGTCTAATACAATATATCATATCATAAATGAGTATATTATGCAAAGACCAAATACTTACCTGATGTCCTATTCTCTTCTGACTGTTTCAAACTCAGTTGTTTCTCTCTACTGCTGGTTAAATACTTTCTTGAGGGATCTGTCATAGCCTTGTTGTTCCTATAGTTAATAATTTAATTCAAACATATATGTATAAAGATATAATTCTTAATTTTAAATAGTTGTCATTAGAATTTACATTTCAATTACTGAATTAATTGATGCGCTTGGAAGTTACGCTACAAGGTGTTAAAGCCTTATGCAAATGAGAATCATAAAAATAAGCTTTTCATTACCTAGTCAAAAGTCAATCCAATCCAAAACCCTGGTAATTAGGCAAAAATGAAAGAGCAGTTCCTTTATAAAAAAGTCAAACCAGAGACAGCAAGAATATATAGGTTTTTTTTGCCAAAAGCAAGCCCAGATGAAATGATTCAGCTACTAAGAGCAAAAGAATCAATTAAGAACTAAGATGAAAAAATTAAAATTAAAAAAAATTGAAAATAATAAAAAGAAGCAAACCATTCGAGCTTGATAATGAACAGCTCTAAAAGTAAAATAAACAAAATCCAAAATGTTCTTATAGTTTATGTAATTTGAAATGTTATTTACTAAATGTCAACATTTCAATTCATAGTGACTAAACTACTTTAAGTTCATGAACACAAAGTTAAAATTTCTTAAGCCCCTTTCCCCTATCTCTTCAGTTCAGTAGCTCAGTTGTGTCGGACTCTCTGCAACCCCATGAACTGCAGCACGCCAGGCCTCCCTGTCCATCACCAACTCCCGGAGTCCACCCAAACCCATGTCCATTGTGTTGGTGATGCCTTCCAACCATCTCATCCTCTGTCTCCCCTTCTCCTCCTGCCCTCAATCTTTCCCAGCATCAGGGCCTTTTCCAATGAGTCAACTCTTCGCATCAGGTGGCCAAAGTATTGGAGTTGCAGCTTCAAAATCAGTCCTTCCAATGAACAGCCAGGACTGATCTCCTTTAGGACAGACTGGTTGGATCTCCTGGCAGTCCAAGGGACTCTCAAGAGTCTTCTCCAACACCAGAGTTCAAAAGCATCAATTCTTTTGTGCTCAGCTTTCTTTACAGTCCAACTCTCACACCCATACATGACCTCTGGAAAAACCATAGCCTTGACTAGATGGACCTTTGTTGACAAAGCAATGTCTCTGCTTTTTAATATGCTATCTGAGTTGGTCATAACTTTCTTTCCAAGGAGTAAGCGACTTTTAATTTCATGGCTGCAATCACCATCTGCTGTGATTTTGGAGCCCAGAAAAACAAAGTCAGCCACTGTTTCCCCATCTATTTGCCATGAAGTGATGGGACTGGATGCCATGATCTTAGTTTTCTGAATGTTGAGCTTTAAGCCAACATTTTCACTCGCCTCTTTCACTCTCATCAAGAGGCTCTTTAATTCTTCTTCACTTTCTACCATAAGGGTGGCGTCATCTGCATATCTGAGGTTATTTGTATTTCTCCTGGCAATCTTGATTCCAGCTTGTGCTTCCTCCAGCCCAGCATTTCTCATGATGTACTCTGCATATAAGTTAAATAAGCAGGGTGACAATATACAGCCTTGACATACTCCTTTTGCTATATGGAACCAGTCTGTTGTTCCATGTCCAGTTGTAACTGTTGCTTCCTGACCTGCATACAGGTTTCTCAAGAGGCAGGTCAGGTGGTCTGGTATTCCCATTTCTTGAAGAATTTTCCACAGTTTATTGTGGTCCACACAGTCAAAGGCTTTGGCATAGTCAGTAAAGCAGAAATAGATGTTTTTCTGGAACTCTCTTGCTTTTTCAATGATCCAGTGGATGTTGGCAATTTGATCTCTGGTTCCTCTGCTTTTTCTAAAACCAGCTTTAACATCTGGAAGTTCACGGTTCATGCATTGCTGAAGCCAGGCTTGGAGAATTTTAAGCATTACTTTACTAGCGTGTGAGATAAGTGCAATGTGCGGTAGTTTGAGCTTTCTTTGGCATTGACTTTCTTTGGGAATGGAATGAAAACTGACCTTTTCCAATCCTGTGGCCACTGCTCAGTTTCCCAAATTTCCTGGCATACTGAGTGCAGCACTTTCACAGCATCATCTTTCAGGATTTTTAAACAGCTCAACTTGAATTCCATCACCTCCACTAGATTTGTTCATAGTGATGCTTCCTAAGGCCCACTTGACTTCACATTCCAGGATGTCTGGCTCTAGGTGAGTGATCATACTGATTATCTGGGTTGTGAAGATCTTTTTTGCAGTTTTTCTGTGTATTCTTGCCACCACTTCTTAATATCTTCTGCTTCTATTAGGTCCCTACCATTTCTGTCCTTTATAGAGCCCATCTTTGCATAAAATGTTCTCTCTTGGTATCTCTAATTTTTTTTAAAGAGATCTCCAGTCTTTCCCATTCTATCGTTTTCCTCTATTTCTTTGCATTGATCGCTGAGGAAGGCTTTCTTATCTCTCCTGGCTATTCTTTGGAACTCTGAATTTAAATGGGTATATCTAAAAAAAAAAAAAGGGTATATCCTTTCTTTTCTCCTTTGCTTTTTGCTTCCCTTCTTTTCACAGCTATTTGCAAGGGGTTCCTTAGAAAGCCATTTTGCATTTTTGCATTTCTTTTCCTTGGGCATGGTCTTGATTCCTGTCTCCTATACAATGTCACGAACTTCCGTCCATAGTTCATCAGGCACTCGGTCTATCAGATCTAGTCCCTTAAATCTATTTCTCACTTCCACTGTATACTCACAAGGGATTTGATTTAGGTCATACCTGAATGGTCCAGTGGTTTTCCCTACTTTCTTCAATTTAAGTCTGAACTTGGCAATAAGGAGTTCATGATCTGAGTCACAGTCAGCTCCCGGTCTTGTTTTTGCCGACTGTATAGAGCTTCTCCATCTTTGGCTGCAAAGAATACAATCAATCTGATTTCGGTGTAGGCCATCTGGTGATGTCAGTGTGTAGTCTTCTCTTGTGTTGTTGGAAGAGGGTGTTTGCTGTGACCAGTGCGTTCTCTTGGCAGAACTCTATTAGCCTTTGCCCTGCTTCACTCTGTACTCCAAGGCCAAATTTGCCTGTTACTCCAGGTGTTTCTTGACTTCCTACTTTGGCATTCCAGTCCCCTAATAATGAAAAGGACATCTTTTTTGGGTGTTAGTTCTAGAAGGTCTTGTAGGTCTTCATAGAACTGTTCAGCTTCTTCAGCATTACTGGTCGGGGCATAGGCTTGGATTACCGTGATATTGAATGGTTTGCCATGGAAACGAAAAGAGATCATTCTGTTGTTTTTGAGATTGCATCTAAGAACTGCATTTCAGACTCTCTTGTTGACTATGATGGCTACTCCATTTCTTCTAAGGGATTCCTGCCCACAGTAGTAGATACAATGGTCATCTGAGTTAAATTCACCCATTCCAGTCCATCTTAGTTCGATGATTCCTAGAATGTTGATGTTCACTCTTGTCATCTCCTGTCTGACTACTTCCAATTTGCCTTGATTCATGGACCTAACATTCCAGGTTCCTATGCAATACTGCTCTTTACAGCATCGAACCTTGCTTTTATCATCAGTCCCATCCACAACTGGGTGTTGTTTTTGCTTTGGCTCCATCCTTTCATTCTTTCTGGAGTTATTTCTCCACTGATCTCCAATAGCATACTGGGCACCTACCGACCTGGGGAGTTCATCTTTCAGTGTCCTATCTTTTTGCCTCTTCACACTGTTCATAGGGTTCTCAAGACAAGAATACTGAAATGGTTTGACATTCCCTTCTCCAGTGGACCACATTCCTCTGATCTATTATTCCCAAATACCTGAACCTATATTAAGTAAAGAGGGTCCATTGAGAAACATGCTCATACTTTGATTAAAGTGCTTATTTTAGGAGATCCATCATGAATAAAGCCTACAAGCAGATAATGTAGATGCTCCACCCAGATTCCCTCTAGTCTTATTTTTGTATCCTCTCTTGCACACCAACTTGGGTTTTTTCCCTTTTTTTTTTTTAATATTGGAGTATAGGTGATTAACAACGTTTTGTTACTTTCAGGTGTACTGCAAAGGGGTTTAGTTATGCATATACATGTATCTATTCTTTTTCAAGTTCTTCTATTTGGGTTGTTTTTAAAATTTTTTTGATAGCCACTACCTAGGGTTCCTTTTCACAAGATTGTCCTCAAGCTACCAGAGTCTTTGTCTGCACTCTCAGAGTCAAAAGTAAGGTCAGGTGCTGAAGTATAGAAGCCAAGCTCCCCTGCCTTGGATTAGAATAGTTTTAAGGTGAAATGTATATAACAGATTTTCTTTCTGGGATTAGGTTGAAGCCTAAACTCTGCATTTTTCTGGTCAGAGATCAGATTTTTGTCTGAGATCACACTCACTCATTTTCTCCTGCACTGCAGTATCTTGCTTCCCCCAGTCCTTCCTGGTATCCCCTGGAAATAATTCCAAACTAATCACTTGGACACTACTCTCCATTTCAGGGTTTGTGTCTGAGGAAGTTGAACAACAGTTAGTGCTAGAAGAGGGTCTAGGAAGCACACTCCAAGGACAAGATTCTGGAACTGGATCAACTGTTTGGCAATGGTAGCAGAAATACCATTGGCTGGTGGTAAAATCTTTGGTATCCTAAAGTGTAATACCAGCAAGGTTTTTCATCTGTAGTGAACTGGGCTGGGATAAAGTAGAAGAGGATATAGCTCATGCAATCTTTCCAGCATTTGAAAAATGTGGTAGACTGCACAATGGACCCTACTAACATTATAGAAATGTTCTAAAACTGGATTATGGTGATGGTTGCACAACTCAAAAAATTTACCAAAAATACAGAATTATACATTTAAAACAGGTGAATTTTATGGTGTATAAACTGTACCTCAATAAAACTGTTAAAAAAAAAAATCCCAAATTATTTCCTTCCTTGTATCCAAGCCCCCTACTAAGAAATGCAATCTGTTTAATGAGACTGGGCTTGTGATTTCCTTTTCCCAAAAGAATGTAACAGACATAACAGTGCATGAGTCCTGATTCTACGGCTACAGGTACCTTGCAAATTTTCACTCATTCTTTTGGAACCCTACCACTGCCATGAGAGTAATTCCAGGGCAACCCTATCA